TCTCTCTCCCCATCTCTCTCCCTCCATCTCTCTCCCAATCTCCCTCCCTCCATCTCTCTATCCCCATCTCTCTCCCTCCATCTCTCTATCCCCATCTCTCTCCCTGCATCTCTCTCTCCCTGCATCTCTCTCTCCCCATCTCCCTCCCTCCATCTCTCTCCCTCCATCTCTCTCTCCCCATCTCCCTCCCTCCATCTCTCTCCCTCCATCTCTCTCTCCCCATCTCCCTCCCTCCATCTCTCTCTCCCCATCTTTTTCCCTCCATCTCTCTCTCCCCATCTGTCTCTCTCCATCTCTCTCTCCCCATCTCCCTCCTTCCATCTCTCTCTCCCCATCTTTTTCCCTCCATCTCTCTCTCCCCATCTTTTTCCCTCCATCTCTCTCTCCCCATCTGTCTCTCTCCATCTCTCTCTTCCCATCTCCCTCCTTCCATCTCTCTCTCCCCATCTTTTTCCCTCCATCTCTCTCTCCCCATCTCCCTCCCTCCATCTCTCTATCCCCATCTCTCTCCCTCCATCTCTCTCCCCATCTCCCTCCCTCCATCTCTCTATCCCCATCTCTCTCCCTCCATCTCTCTATCCCCATCTCTCTCTCTCCATCTCTCTCTCTCTCTTTCTCACCATATCTCCCCTCTCTCCCCTTTCTCCTTCAAATAGGATTTTCAGAAGGTAACCACTTGCAAAGTTAATGCAGAGGGGCCCGAGTTCCCTCTGTGTGAGGTTAGCACAAGGATCTCAGAAGTGTCCACACATTGTTCTCCCTCTGCCTGTCCAGGAAGATGTACTAAACCATCCCTGGGGCCCTGCTACAGCCGGGGAAAACTAACATACCTGTGAAGGTGTGTTCAGCACTCACTCCACCCACTCTCAACCCTGCCCTAGACCTCGAGGCCCACTCAATGGGATTCCCTTCTGTGCAGTGCTCATGGCCTCCAAGCAACACCGCGTCGGACAATTTCAAGACAAGTCCCCAAGAATCACAGCAGAGTAATAACTTCTGGGCTGTAGCATCAAAGAAAAAGGCAGAACTATGGGCAAAGCAGCCATAACTCTGGGTTACCTGGCTGTGCACAGTCAGTATTTATAATAACCATCTAAATTCTCAGGAAAGTAGGATGTTTTGTTGTGTCCTCAGGTGGCTTAAGAATCACATCACAGTCCTTTGAAAGATTTTTGTTAAAAGTACTCAAAACTTTTTTTTTTTTTTTGGAGACAGGGTCTCACTATGTTGCCCTCTGTAGAGCGCTGTGCCATCACAGCTCACAGCAACCTCTAATTCTTGGGCTTAAGCAATTCTCTTGCCTCAGCCTCCCAAGCAGCTGGGACTACAGGCACCTGCCACAATGCCCAGCTATTTTTAGAAATGGGTTCTCAATCTTGCTTGGGTTGATCTTGAACTCATGAGCTCAAGCACTCCACCTACCTGGGCCTCCCAGAGTGCTGAGATCACTGCACCCAGCCTTCTGGCCTTTCATTCCTCTCTTAATTCCTAGTACCACTCTGGACAAGTTGCTGAGTCTCTTATATCTCAATGTCTTCATTACTAAGAAAGGACCGCGGGTGGTGTTTAAACCCTCTGAGATGAACATTCCTGGATTATTTTATGATGGTTTGCATGTCAAACAAAAGAGGATCGAGGTGGAATGAAAGATGAATGTTTATATTAATCCTTTATTTAAAAATAAAAAGGGAACGTGAATAATCTAGTGAGTCATTATCAGCTTTCCTATGAAAATATCTAGGTTTTCTCTTTTCTCAATTGATATATTCAGAGTGGATTGGAGATTTAAGAAATGTGGAAACCAAGCTCACTGCAGGGAACCTGCTAATTGTTCAAATCAGCGGATTAGAAACGGTTATTTGTTGCAACAACTCCTTTGCCTTGCCCGTTCCTGCAAGGCAACTCTTCCAAACGACCCAGCGATATAATCAAGCATTCTAGAAAATAACCACACTTTTTTTTTTTTGGCCTTAGGAATTCCTTGCCTAGTTATCGAGCTTATTGAAATCAAATTGCACATGGAGAGAGAGAATTTTATGAAGATGTTCGCCCCAGTATTATTAGCACTGCTGAGAATGAAATGAAAAGCTAAAATTGCAAAAAAAGATTTTAAAAAGTTTTAAGGAATCATGAACATTTACTCGAAAGAGCAGTAATTTGAGCTACAACAGCTTGAAAAAACACACCGTAGACATCCATGGGTATATTGGGGAAAGTTACGCAAAACACACGTTTGGGCTGGGAGTTAGGGGGACAAGGAGAAGAATAATTTATTCTTAGAAATCATAGTGGGACAGCGCCTGTGGCTCAAAAGTGTAGGGCACTAGTCCCATATGCCGGAGGTGGTGGGTTCAAACCCAGCCCTGGCCAAAAACTGCAAAAAAAAAAAAAAAAAAAAAAAAAGAAAAGAAAAGAAATCATAGTGATTCCTAGCACATGATTATTGTTATGTCATATGTAATATGTGTTTTTAAATTACTAGTCACAGGTGACTTTTTTCTTTGTCCCATTTTTTTACACATTATAAGGAGTCAAATTGCTTCCCTAGCAGACAAATGCATATTTTATATACAGGATGTCCCCGAAAGTTGCCCACAAAGCCACCATACAAAGGGGACAGTGGAAAATTGTAGCTAAATTTACAAGCTGTCCATTGCAAAACTTTATTTAGGAAAAATCCATCACAAAATTTTATTTACAAAATATCCATTATACAATTTTATTTACAAAGTCATCATTGCAAAATTCTGCAAAATATTTACAAGATATTCTCTTACATTTCAGGCACCTCTTTATAAAATTTTGCAGTGACTATTTTATAAATAAAGGTACAATTAGCCACTATTTCCCATTTTCCCCTGGTATGCTGATTTTAGGGGTAACCTTTGGGACTCTCTGTTTCTTACTCATGTAGACACTGCTACCTAAATTATTGCCAGTAGTTATAACAGGCATAAAAAAGGAACTTCTGGCAATATTTTTCTAATTGTGACTCCTTCAATATATCCAAATCTTAGATCAAATATTGGCATTGTTTCTTTTGGGGGCTTTAAAATAATTTTTAGTTAAATACTCAAGTCAAGACTGATGCACATCTGAAAAAACAGTTCCCAACGTGGCTTTCATGTTATATATAGGCAAAGCTAGATTATTTTAAAGTCTGAGTTTTGTATGTCATCTTGGGGCAATGCTCCAATCTCGAACATCTCATCCTTCTTATAACAGTCATAATTTTCCCTCCTATTCAATTGCTTATGTGACCTTAAAAATTGTCAGAGCATGAACTTTTGGGCTCACAGCTGAACATCTCATTCTCCAGTGGCAGGGCCCTGCCTGAATTCATGGAAACGGCAGGAAAGGGTCATAAATGCAGTGCTGTGATTTTTTTTACGGCTCACCATCTCTTGTTCTGTTTCTGGTTAAAAATTGAGGTTAGGTTTCTGGAGGTCTGTGCAGTAGGCTGGTCTCATACACTACATTAACCTACATAGAATTTTCCTCCCTGAAATGGCCCGAGCTTTTTCAAGTTGCCCACCCAGCCAGACATTTTTAAAATGTGGGGCTGCATGAAGCATGTGAATGTCTGTGTTTCAAACAGATGCAGTTTCAAAATGAGTGATTTTTGGTTTTCTGGAAAAAATATTTGTTAGCTAGCTACCCAGTTGAGGATTTCTTTAGGCAGAGCTAATTTAGTGAATTGATTTCAATCATGAAGCCTGAAAATTATCATTACACCGAGGTTACAAATATAAATGCATTCCCCAAGGTGCCGTCTGAAATGGATTCAGCTGTTTTTCCCTTTGCCCTAATGAAGGCGTACCTGGTTTTGCTTGTGAGATAAAGGGGCCTTTGACCTCTTGCTAGGGCAAAGCGTGGGGTTGCTCTGAGTGCTTTAATTCATGGTGTCTAAAAACAAGGGATCAAAAACTAGACTGCATTGTGGAAGCATAAAGAAAGGTTGTGCTTTTTCAAAAAACCCTAAAGGTGTCCTCATGGTGCATAGTTTCATTTTCTAAAATTGCAGTGTGTGTGTAGGATAATATCCCAGGGGGAGGCCGGGCGAGGAAGAAGGGAAGCCGAGTGCATGAAAGAGAGGCTGAGAGAGCTGAATGCTGCTCAATCCACAAATTCACATGCCCGAGAGACAATCAAAGCCTTCTTTGCTCAGTCAAAGCTTCTGTTCTGTCTCGTGGGTTTTCATTTGCATGTCGACAATTTTGCACCTGCAGGGCTGTTCCAGAAGGCCATCATCCAGAGTGGCACCGCCCTGTCCAGCTGGGCCGTCAACTACCAGCCTGCCAAGTACACTCGCATACTGGCAGACAAAGTGGGCTGCAACATGCTGGACACCACCGACATGGTCGAATGCCTTCGGAATAAGAACTACAAGGAGCTCATTCAGCAGACCATCACCCCGGCCACATACCACATCGCCTTCGGCCCCGTGATCGACGGGGACGTCATTCCCGACGACCCTCAGATCCTCATGGAGCAGGGGGAGTTTCTCAATTACGACATCATGCTCGGAGTCAACCAGGGGGAAGGCCTGAAGTTCGTGGACGGCATCGTGGATAACGAGGACGGGGTGACGCCCAATGACTTTGACTTCTCCGTGTCCAACTTTGTGGACAACCTCTATGGGTACCCCGAAGGGAAAGACACCTTGAGGGAGACCATTAAGTTCATGTACACGGACTGGGCGGATAAGGAGAACCCAGAGACGAGGAGGAAAACCCTGGTGGCTCTGTTCACCGACCACCAGTGGGTGGCCCCCGCCGTGGCCACTGCTGACCTGCATGCGCAGTACGGCTCACCCACCTATTTCTACGCCTTCTACCATCACTGCCAGAGTGAGATGAAGCCCAGCTGGGCAGACTCAGCCCACGGGGATGAAGTGCCCTATGTTTTCGGCATCCCCATGATTGGTCCAACCGAGCTCTTCAGCTGTAACTTCTCCAAGAATGACGTGATGCTCAGTGCTGTGGTCATGACCTACTGGACGAATTTCGCCAAAACTGGGTATGTTGTCCTTTACGTGTGGGTATCGTCCTCTTGCTTGGCTGGTTTGTTTAGTCAGCATGTGTGCTGTGTCTGTGATGGAATAAAGTGTCCTGGGCTCATGTACACACACAGGCGTGCACACATGTACACACATATGCACACACATGCATGTACACACACAGGCATGCACACACAAGTGTGCACACATGTACACACACATGCACATACATGCATGTACACACACAGGCATGCACGCACAAGTATGCACACACAAGTGTGCACACATGTACACACATATGCACATACATGCATGTACACACACAGGCATGCACACACAGGTGTACACACACAGGCGTGCACACATGTACACACATATGCACACACATGCATGTACACACACAGGCATGCACACACACGTGTGCATACATGTACACACATATGCACATACATGCATGTGCACACACAGGTGTACACACATGCATGTACACACAGGCATGTACATACACAGGGGTGCACACATGTACACACATATGCACACACAGGCATACACACATGTGCATATAGATGCATGCATATACAGGCATGCACACACGTGTGCACACATGTGTGCACACACATGTGCACACACATGCACACCACCACCTACAGGAACTGGGTTTTATTTCTTTATTCCTCCAGCATCTCATGCCAAGCCAGATGTTTGCCCCAGTGCTAACTGCAAACTGGAAATTCTGTACTTTCTACCTGCCGGGCAGCACTGGTACATATTTGGATAGCAGTGGTAAAATCAGGTCACAGGGTTTGGAGTCTAATCATGACCTCATCTCAATTCTTGAAGAGCAAGGTCATGAGTGCACTTACCCTACGTGGGAAATTAATTATATTTACTGCACAGCCATGAGAATGAAAAGTCCCATAACAGTTATACACAGTGAGTAAATATGTATTTTTCCTCTAAACTTGATATTTTCAATATATAATTCTTTCTGCATATTATATAGAATATGTATCTTTCTACATATACATTTTATATTTAATATATGTGTCTCTTTATACAGATAATGGATTTAGTATCTACATTTATATCTAGATGATACATAGTTCCAAGATATATTTCTTTCTTTTTTTTTTTTTTTTTGAGACAGAGCCTCAAGCTGTCCCCCTGGGTAGAGTGCTGTGGCATCACAGCTCACAGCAACCTCCAACTCCTGGGCTCAAGCGAGTCTCCTGCCTCCGCCTCCCAAGTAGCTGGGACCACAGGCACCCGCCACAATGCCCGGCTATTTTTTCGTTGCAGCCGTCATTGTTGTTTGGCGGGCCCAGGCTGGATTCGAACCCGCCACCTTAGGTGTATGTGGCTGGCGCCTTTAGCCACTTGAGCCACGGGTGCCGAGCCAAGATATATTTCTATATAGATTATACAAGGTGGCCATAAAGTACACGTGCATTTAAAACAGTGTGCAGTTTTAAATTACACACAAACTTTATGGCCACCCTGTGCATTTAATATATAAATTTCTCTCTATACAGATTATAAATTTACTACATATATTTGCAACATATATTTCAACATAGATTACATATTTAATATGTAGATATCTCCATATAGATGCAATATGTACAATACCTCTATATAGATTATAATTTAATCTATATTTATATAGTTTATATATATATTTTGTTTGTTTGTTTGTTCGTTTTTGCAGTTTTCGGCTGGGGCTGGGTTTGAACCCACCACTTCCAGCATATGGGGCCAGCACCTTACTCCTTTGAGCCACAGGTGCCACCCAGTTTATATATTTTTACAATATATATTTTTATATAGATTACCCATTTAATATGTAGATTTCTCTATGTAGAGACTATACATTCAATATGCTTATTTATCTCTATATAGATTATAGATTTAGTCTGTATATTCATATACATCTTATAGATTTAATATGTTATATTTATATTGTTTTTATATATATGCAACACCTATTTCTCTCTCTAGATCATATATTTTAATACATATTTCTATATAGATCATATATATTAATATATATTTCTCTAGATAGATCATGCACATCTAATATATATTTCTCTATGTATGTCTATATATAGATTTAACATATCAACAAATATGTTTACATTTCCCTTGCTCCATATACGTAAAACTAGGAAATATATGATATACAGATGGTTCCCCCAAAAGTACACACATTTTAAGCAAGGACAAACAAAAATGTATTGAAACTGTAATATTCAAATCACCTTTGATTTCTGCAATTACAAAAGATAAGGAATACAGTAGTCGAGGTGACTATGTCATTGGCATATATTGAGCGTTAAAATTTTAATATGTTTTTTCTTTCTCAAACTGTATGGCACCCTCAGTGTATCCCACGTTGCTATATATACACACACGGCACCTTTTTACTTGCTCTTGTCTGATAACGTGATTGTGGAAATTAATGACACATCATCATTCTTTCCCCCCATGCCTCTGCTGCTGTCGTTAACCGTGAGAGCCTCTTGCACAGAAATGAAAATATATATTACATTGCTCTCCATATAAACACGCACACACAGAGACACACACATACAAGCCCACAAGCAGTAAGGTCTGCCGGTATTCTCATGAGGGGCTTCTCAGCAAACCCTGAGAGTAAAGATTCTAGAATATTCTACATCCCTGCAAATCGCCTGGCAATCCTTCACCTCCCCTCGTCTGAAAAGGTGGTTGTGGAGGTGAATGAGGCGTCCTTCTGTTCCCGCACCCTGTGCTGCTGTGGTTAACAGTCAGAGCTCCCAGCAGTGAATTAAACACGGAGGTGCCCATGCCAGGGAGGGGTGGTGACGCCCCCACGTCGTGCCAAGTGTCAGAATCAGGCTTCCAGAGCCCCTGTTAAGAGAATTTGGGGATGTCAACGGTTCCAGGGCCGAGCAGGCATCATTCTTTACAAGGAGACCAAAGCATTTTGGTTTTGTTGTTTCTTTTCTTGTTTTATTTCTTGTTTTTGTTTTCCCTTGGTGGGAAGTGGTTTAAAAGTATTTTCAGCTCTTAGCAAATGCACAGCATATTCACGGAGAGGAAAAGGTATTATATATGTGCCAACGTCCCCCCCATTCGGACTTTATAAATGTAGATTTAGTCTCAGACAGGCGAACCTGAGGACGGAGGGAGAGAGGGAAATGTCTCCAATATTTGCTAGCCACACTTAAGTATCTATCATGAAAAGTTTCTTACCTGGGAAATGAAATGATTGAAGTCAAATTAACAGGAGTGTTTCAATAAACCTGTGGCTATTAATATTACTTTCTTGGGGCGACTGTAACAGATTCGTCAAAACTGTCTAAATTAAAACAACAGTAATTTATCATCTCATGGTTCAGGAGATTAGAATTTCCAAATGAAGGTATTGGCAGGGATACACTCCCTCTGAAACCATTCGGGGAAGATTTGCTTGTGTTTTTCTCAGCTTCTGCTGGTTTACAAGCAATCTTTGTCACTTCTTGGTTGGCAGATAGGTGGCCCCGATTCCTTCCTCCACTGTTACATGTCGTATCTGTGTGTCTCTCTGTTCACATCTGCCATAAGGACACCTGCTATATTAAATTAGGTCCTGTTCAGCATCTGCTGAACTTGACTAATCATTTCTGCAATGACCTTTCCAAATAAGTTCGCATTGGGAGGTATCGGGGTAGAACTTTAGGTCATCTAAAATTTGGAGACAACCCAATTCAATCCACATAACACCTTATGAAAGTGGGCCCCTGCTCTGTTTTTAGAGAACTAAGATAGATAGATGGGGTCTGCCCTGGCAGGGGTTTCTGTCCTCTTGAATCCCCAAGACTTCCGGAAGGGTTTCCTAAATCATGGCCAATCGTCCCCACCTTGGTATCCAAATACCTCACTTGGTTCACATCTAAAGACACTTTTAATTTACTTTCATCAAAAACACTTCCTTTTTTCTTCTTTACATATTCTGAAAATGAACATAATATAATTTAAGCAGAAAGCTAGAATCACTCATCATACATATTATGGGCCACTAAAAAAATAATAGCCCAAACAACCCAATATATGAATGAATTACTAAGATATGCTGTTTGTAGAACTACTCAACCAGAAAAGGAAAGTGCCTGCATAGAATATTTTGGGGCAGCCTGAAGAGGAACTAGATACCACTGTTCTAACTGAAATATCACAAGAATGGAGAAAGAAACACAAACTCAGTACAAAATTGGGACTAAGCGATCAATACTTAAGTATTTGGAAGTCAAAGTCGATGAAAATGAAGATGTTGAAATAGGGCGGATAGGACGGGTAAAGTCACACTACTGGGCACGGTGGACACTGGGCGAAGGGCTCACTTACCTGCATAACTTTCACTCAATCTCTACAGAAACATGGAAAGGAAACATGTGTGGCCCCTGACCTTCTGAATTTTAAAAATATGACGAGGGCGGCGCCTGTGGCTCAAAGGAGTAGGGTGCCAGCCCCATACGCCGGAGGTGGCAGGTTCAAACCCAGCCCCCGCCAAAAAAAACCCCAACATATATATATAGGTATTATATATATATAGGTATATATATTGGTATTATATATATATATATATAGGTATATATATAATGGTATTAAATTATCCTGAGTTCTTCTTACCTGTCAAAGGCTGTGAATCTGAGGCTCATTGCTTGTAGAAAGGAAGAAGGAGGGAAAGGAAGAGAAAGAAAGATAGAAAGAAGAGAAGTGGGGGGAAGGGAGGAAGGGAGGGAGG